CTGACAAAGCAGCAGCTCTCATTTACAGTCGTCTCGTTTGGCTCGGTACTTCTCTCCTTTCAGCAGGGCTGTTTACAGTGCACGCCATTTCCGGTTAGCTTCTTAGCTTAGCCTCTGTCACAGTGGAGCTTGTACTTACGGCCAACCGATCCAATCATTTTAAACTTTAGTAGAGGCCACGCCTCCTGCAAGAAACGCTTCTCTATTCAGCTAGTCCAGACCCTTGTACGAAGCAAAGTGAAGGACAGGGTCTGGTTTAATCCAGGCTAACAAGTCTGTTATTGAGAGTGTCATCACTTCTGTAGATCTAAAAGTCTGTTGTTGAGAGCATCATCTCTTCTGTAGCTCTATAAGTCTGTTGGTGAGAGTGTCATCTCTTCTGCCATCATCTGTTGGGGCAGCAGCATCAGAGCCAGGGACCTAAAAAGGCTAAATAACCTGATAAAGAAGGCTGGTTCTGTTCTGGGGACGACTGTGGAACCTCTGGAGATGATGGTGCAAAGAAGGATTTTACATCAAATCAAGAACATTGTGGACAACCCTGACCATCCTCTTCATCAGACTGTCATAGAAAGACAAAGTGTCTTCAGTCGGAGGCTTCTTCAACTTCGCTGTAATACAGACCGCTGTTGCGGTCTCGCAACAGAAAACAAGCAGGTTCTTTGACATGGGCAAAATGAAATCGGCCATGAAATTAGCACATCATGATATGATTTATTTTCCCAGGCAGGTTTTTTTCACCTGTATTATCGTGAATGATATGATATGGCCCACCCTACTTCAGATACACCCCGCTGACTCACTACCTGTGCCGGCTTGGCTCCCTCCCTCAGCCTGCTCCCTTCCTCCCTTTCTCTCCAACAAAGACGACCCATAATTGTTGAACAGCTAGAATACTAGAAAAGAATGGGACAATATTTGCTTCCAAGAATTCCAGCAAAGGGTCTCCCCAGTTTCTTGATGTTTTACAGACTGTTGATAAAAGAAGTGAAAATGCTTCACATCGAGAAACATGGAACTGTTCAAACTTTTTGAGGTGTGTAGCTAAAAATTAAAATAATTCAACATTTCCCCTGAATATGGTCCAGTTTCTTTGTGTAAACCTTTGATTTATTTTTTATGTTTTATGTTGCAACTTTTAGGACATTTTGATTAAAATAATGTGAAATAAAGCTTGTGATTTGAGAAAGGATTGGCATTCGTTCTGTTTCTCCCGTTAGATCTCTTATGCGATTGGTGTGAGTCACCCACTGTCCATCACAGTGTTCCACTACGGCACATCCAACAGAGATGAAGATGAGCTGTTGCACATAGTTCAAAAGAACTTCGATCTTAGACCTGGAGTCATTGTAAAGTATGCAAAGATTTTTTATTACCTTACAGACCCCAGACAAGAATAAAACCTATAAGTGTCACAGTGTCTTGTCTTTTGCAGAGAGCTGGGACTGAAGAGGCCGATTTACCAAGCCACTGCTTGCTACGGTCACTTTGGAAGAAGTGAATTTCCCTGGGAACAATCAAAACAACTTGTATTTTAATGCCATTGCAGTCAGATTTTTTTATTTTGATGTCCACGATCTAAAAAATAAATAAATTCAGAATCTGAGTTCAGACAAAAACTAAAATCACTGCTGTGATTTTTATCCTTTATCTTTTTACAATCAAAAATAATTGCGGCACAAGCAGTAAAGTAGTTGTCAATGTTAGTTATTTTAATAAAAAAAGTCAAGCTGACAAACTGAATATAATGTAATATGAAGCTTTTGATTATAAATAGAGGCATTAAATCATGTTAGTATGAAAAAACTCTGTGTTCAATGCTAATTTGAGATTTGTCTTCTTTTCTGAATGAAACTTGATAAAAGAAGTGCAATGAAGTCATTCATAACACACACACTGCCAACTGTTTCCACAACATTCTTCTTTTTAAACTTTGTCATGGGAAATACAGTGAACTATGTCTGTTAGCAAAATATCTCATGAAAGAATTATCAGATTTTTATTTTTTTAAATTTCATTTTTTAAATTTTAATTATTGCACACTTTCTGTAAATCATATAAACTTAATTTCATTTCTCTAATATCACTGTGTTTGTCCACTATATGATAAATTTAATGTCCTGATGCATCTCAGTAATCCAGGTAAAAAATCAAAGGAAAAAAATAGTATAGGTCCTCTGGACGGGTTCTTCTTTAATGAAACGTTTCGTCTCTCTTCCAAGAGACTTCTTCAGTCTGAGAGTTTGAATTTGAAGCCTGAATTTTGCCTGAAACTCTCAGACTGAAGAAGTCTCTTGGAAGAGAGACGAAACGTTTCATTAAAGAAGAACCCGTCCAGAGGACCTATACAATTTTTTTCCTTTAAAAAACTGCTGTTTTTACACATTTTAAACCTTAAAAAACTGCTGTTTTTACACATTTTAAACCTTAAAAAACTGCTGTCCTGATG